AGTCTCCCTCCACCGAATAAAAATGCTTTAACTTTAGTTTTTCTTTTAGGATTAACTGTACTGGAGGTCCCCAAAATATAAAATTTATCTCATTTTAGTTCTCAATATTTTAATTTAATGTTTTGGTCCCTACAAAATTAAATATATTTTTATGTAGTCTTTCAAGCAGAATGCATTCAAATTACTAATAATTTTTTATAATAAACTTGTCAAGTGATGCTTAAATATGGGCAAAAAAAATAATTTGGATAGCTCTTAATCAAAATTTGGGTAACTCTTGACAAAAATTGTGTAATTTTGGTAGCTCTTGACCCAAATTTAGATAAAAATTTGGTCAAAAGTTATCCAAATTATTTTTTTCTCATATTTAGGTATCATGTGATAAGTTTGTAATAAAAAAATCGTTAGTAATTTGAGTTGTGTTTGCTTGAGGAACCACATAAAAACATTTTTAATACTTCAGAGACTAAAATAATGTAATTAAAATATTAAAGACCAAAATAAGATAAATCTCATTTATTGGGAACTTTTAATGCAATTCACTTTTTTTTTTAATACTTGAGAACTTGTGTAAATGTACTAAAATACTTTTAGGGTCTGTTTAGTAAAGGGGTATGTGGGGGTTGACAAAATGAGTTTGGAAAAAATAGTCAAAAAAAAACTCTCAAATCTCATATTTTGATTAAAAATTCAATTTTGGGTTCCCAAACCAGTCTCGTAACTGACCCGAATATTAAACTCATATTATGGGTTTCGTCAAACTTAGGGGGAGATGGGTTTAGAAAGATTGGTTAGGGATGCAAAAGACAATTGTACCGCTTAATATGAGTATAAATTGAATTGATCAAGGGTAAAATAGTTATTTATAGGACAAATAATTATTAATAATTATGATATATCCGTGGGTGTTATATGTGTATGTGTTGCATATCAAACATGGGTATGAACCGAATTTAATATTAAATCACATCTTTGTAAAAAAAAAATTGAATTTAGAAGAGTTTATATTTTGAAAAGTTTGAAAAAATCAATCCAAACCTTATCCAAAAGCTTTCCAAACAAGCTTGCTAACTTTGGGCTTGCGTTTGCTATAGGTTAACGATAATTATAGAATGCAGGTACAGCCAGGCATAAAAATACCTTTTAAAGATGTGTTACTACCTATAAATCACGGATACGGATACGATACGATATGATGCAAATATAATGATACAACAAAATCTAAAAAATTAGAATACAGGTACAGTCAGAATACGACTATAATATAATATATTTAATATTTTTATTATTTTTAACCAAGTTAACACTTATATATTTTGTTTGTTCTTTAACATATAAGAAGGAAAATTAGTAATTCTTTTTAGTTTTAAGAAAATAGATATCGTGTCGCTGTGGTATATTCACAAAGTGAAACGACTAATTAAAGGAATTAAATATAATATTTACCTAGTATTTAGAAGTTATTTTTGTTAAGATTATAATGTAATAGCTTTGCTAAATGGTCTTTTGATATGTAATTGTAGATAATACTTAAAAAACACTCATGTGTTTTTGAAGTAATATGAAATTTTTGTTAATGTATTGTATAGTATGTGAATTCGAAAAAAGATGATAAAAATTCAACTAAAAATTATATATGTTGCTTTACTATAAAAGTATCCATGAAATATTATAATATTTAATTATTATCGAATACGTAGAAGGTGTATTCGATACGTATTCTCGAGTATCCGACGAATATCGTAGCCGATACGGGTACGCCAGCCTCAATGAAGTATCCGTGCTTGATAGGTTACTACCAACTTTTTGTTTAAGCATTCACACTACTATTTTCATGTCGAATTAAAAGTTAAACAAATTCAAACAATTTTTCATAAATTTGTGTATGAAATTTTTATTAACTTATACACACACACACTCTCTCTCACACACACACATATATATATAATGACACTCAAAAAAATTCTCAATCTAAGATTTTTTTGAAAATTTTCTTTTTTGTGCTCTAATTCTCGCTCTCCGCCCCCGCTTCTGTTTTATGTGATTTAGGTCTCAACTATAGTTTAATTTATTGGGTGCGGACATATGTTACTAATATTAGAGATGAGATCAGTTAGTCCAATTGTAGAACCAACCACGTCACAGAAAAAGAAAAATAAAAAGAAAAGAAACGAGAGAGAAAAGAATGAAGTCATGGGAGAATTTGTCATTGGATCACTATGTTTATCTTTTCGTTTTGTTGCCTATGATGAATCTAGAAACTTAGGTTTTTTTTTTTTATTTTGATATGCACATATTACCTGTTATTAGGAAATAGAATTTTAATTATTTTGCATACAATTCGACCGCTCTTGACTATCTTGTCCACTATTAGTTTTGTCTCTCTTTTTGTAATAAGCTATGAAAAGCCCACGAACTGCTATCACATACAGTTGATCCCTCCAATAACTTCATTTATTAAATCTCTGGATAAAAAAATGCGTATTAAATCAACACAATACTTCGATATTTTCTAGTTTGTAATTAATAAAGCTCTAGGGTTTTGTATGACTCACTCCTATTATTTATTTTTATTTTTTTTGGAAAAGTTGTTTGACTCATTCATAAGAGAACAAATGCATGTTTCCTAGGTATCAATAACCAAGATGGAGAATATCACACCCAAATAAAAAAACAAAAGAAGAAGAAGATGGCGAATACCTTTGATTGTGACACTTTTTCATACCCTAGGGTGAAAGGATTCTTTGATAAATATAATGTTCCGAAGAAAAGAAGCATGTTCTTTAGAGTGCAAGAAAAAAATGGGTAAATTATACTTTAGTCCTCTCGTCTCACTTTATCACTTAACTGTTGAAAGTTCTCACATTTTCTTCAATTATCGGAATTGGTCTCAGATTGCTCCAAAATAAAAGGTGGGTCATGTTTTGACAGACTATATTCATGTGTAGTTATAATTCAAAGTGTAATATGAAAAATGTGTAGGTGAATGTGAGAAAATATGAGGGTCAAAGTATAATTTACATGAGATAAAAGATCAAATAAGTAGCTGAGGGAAATGTGGGCCAATCTCTCTTCCATCAATTGCATTAATGGGATGTGGATTTGTTTATGATATCAAAGATTAAATAAGCAGCATCTATGAAAAGCCTTCACCAGAAAATTCTGGTCTGAGTTTGCTGAAAGTTTATTCTCAGCCCACAAAAGAATAGCAGATTTAAATATGTTATACTGCAAGCGAACATTTTTGTTGAATTTGGTGCTCTCAGCAGTTCCAGAAGAATTATTGTAATTAAGGGAGAGGGCTAAAAGAGAGGGAATATGAGCACAAAAGACCTGGGCCTTTCATGATGTCCAAGCATAGATTAAAGAAAGAAGTATGAATGTGCCATCCTATTGGAAAAGAAGCATCTAGCAATTAGTATGCACTAAGGGCCGTCGAGTTAAGATCTCATAAATAAAATACAGCATATAAAATTAGTTCACTGATTGGCTAAGAAAATTTTGAATATTCTACATTTTTTATTTTTTATTTTTTATTTTGGAAAAGGTTTGTGTTCCAAGATCTCTACATGAACAAATATTTTGTAAAGAAATAAATCAAAGCAAAGAGAATAGAAAGATTAAGCGGTTACCAGAAACATAAGGTGCCATTGTGGTAAATTCATGGTAGAGTCAGAGTCAGAATTTGTTTACAGTGAGAGCAACTTAGAACTCCGTAATGACTTAAAACCCTACTGCTAGAATTACTGGTTTTTTTTTTTTTGATCCAATAGCATTACTGGTTCAAATGTCAATATTCTACTAATCTTAGTTCATAACTCATTCAACATGAAGTTATCTTCTTGGACTCAAATCTAAATGTGGTCATTGAGTGTTTACCAGGCAACTTATAATGACCATGTTTGGATAACGAACCATGTGTTATGAATTCAATAATATATATGTGGGACTTTCTCGACGAAGGCATGGAGATGTGGCGAGGCAAGACAAATGCTTTTTTGACCATGGTTGTATGATTGTTAGGTCCTCTCCTTGTTTTTCCCACTGGCTTATTGGCATAGCAGCCTTTGGGCTTTGCCTGCCCTTTATAATAAAAAATTTTGACTGAACTTGAGAAAGCTCTGGCAATAACAGAAAGGAAGGGGCTCATGTATATATTGCGCCCGGTCCTTTCTTAATCAATGGGGCAATAGGTTCAACATTTACTACGAAAGAGAGAATCCACTTCAGATAAACACACCTCTGTTAGACCGACTTTTTGGATATATAATCCAAGTCGAGCGTAGAATTAGGGAACAACCGTCTTATGGAAAATGAATTTCATGTTTAGTTTAGAGAGAACTTTTTCCATTGAGAATTATTCATTCCCTTTCGTATGAATTCCCCAGCAACAATTTCAAAACTCGTGGGGCATTATCTATTCCATCTCTTGAGCCCCAAAGAAATCCCCCTCCCCTTTGGACTCCATATCTCTTTTGATTCTGTATACGTGGGCAGCTAATATCTATAAGTGTTCACCCAATACAGTTACAACATAATATTTTATTAAATTGAACATAGATATAGTAACATTTTAATCTAAACATAGATAAGCAAATTACTTAAGTCATGTGATGACTTTCATTGACGTGTGCTAAATTCTACATAAAAAATTTGTATGAGAGATCTTGGGCATTTATGTAGGAACAATGGCCCCAAATGATGACTACTTGGCTAGTCATTTTTGGGTGAGTTTCATTGTTACTACACATGGTATCAATATCTGCCTATGCACACGACTGTTTAGGTTCGAGGATACCGTTATTGTGAGGTCAACATTGACCACATTTAACCACGAGTCAATCATAATATTTGTGATCAATTATGAATCCCTCATAAGGACGTGAGAATAAAAGAGGGGAGATAGTGACGACATGTATTGATGTGTTGAATAAATTATGTATAGAGAAACAATGATTGAATCACAACTTCTTTATTTTTTTGATAAAAACGATAATACGATTATATTAATTGAAAGTCGGTACATCAACTTAGAAGGAATGTAACAAAAATGATGGGCATTCCTGTCTCCATAAACATAATCGATACATGTTAAAGCATATTTAGCTAATTTGTGAGCAACTTCATTCCCACTCCAACGAATCCAAGAAATGAAAAATTCATTAAATCTGCCGCTGCAATCCTAGATTTGGTCCATGAGCAATCCAGCTTTAGAAAAGTCTCCCGTATCTTCCCTTAGAGCAACGATAATCCCTTTCGAAACCCCTTCTAAAATCAGCTTTGCAAAACGCCATTCACTTGCTAACATGACTGCCAAGGAAGTAGCCATTGCCTCAATATGTTCGGCTTTTAGTACCCCCATAATTATTCGACTTAAACCCAACACAGACTTTCCATTGCAATCCCTGATGACCATTCCGATACTGGAACAACCCATTTCATTGTATATAACCCCATCAAAATTAGCTTTAATGAAACCCTCCGGAGGGGCCACCCATTTAAAAACTCCAGACGATGATGCCTTTTGTTGCACCCGAGGATTGCTTTTCCTACTCGCCCAATATTGATTCTGATAAGATAGAGAAAACTCAAACACCTGGCTAGGGGAACTGATGGATTGACCCATTCGGATTCTATTCCTGTTATACCATATTACCCATAATATCACCAGAGCCAGACACAATTTATCAGTGAGATTATAGACTAAAAGACACTCTCTAAACGAAGCATTTTGTAATTGGGGAAGTTGCACTCCTGGATTTAACCACATCGTTTCAACAAAAGGGCATTGAAAAAAAATATATGCACAATAGTTTCATTTGGATCATCATACAATAAACAATCCGTTTCCACAGGTATCATTTTTCTTCGTAAATTACTGAGTGGGTAGTATATCCTTAAATGCCCTCCATACAAAATTTTTAATTTTGTTTGGGATTCTTATACGCACCAAATAAAATCCCCAAGCCATTTACCACTACTATTACTGGGATCCTCACCATATATGTGTCCGCCATTTAAGCCTTGATCAATAATCAAATTGATTGTATTCCTAACAGTAAAATGACCAGAATGAGTATAGTGCCATACCAGACGATCGGGAGGGAACTGATCACAAATAGGCATGGACTCAATTAGATCCGCTTCAAATGGCAGAAACATCTGGTGAAGTAGATCACCCTTTCACCTTCCTTGTGCACAATCAATGAAGAAACTGACAGTAGTATTGTCTCCTAAATTCGGTAATGGCTAGTAACTTTGAAAGTGGTTGGTCTTGGAAGTCACTTATTTGCTTTAACCTAAACACTTTGTCTGTCTCCTATTCTCCATCGGACACTAGCTACTATAACTCTTCTCGAGTCCAGAATGCTACACCAAGTAAGTGATAGATCGGTCCCTAGTTGGGCCTCCAACAGGGAGGTAAAAGGAAAGTATTTGGCCTTTAAATCCATGAAAAGCAGTGACTTAGGATTTTGAAGTAACCGCCAAAATTGTTTTGCCAGCAGAATCACAACTTCTTAACTAGCCTTTTTGGGCGAGTTTCGTAGTTACTACATGTCCAATCAATTGAAGCAATTTAATCTAAATTGTAATTCATAATAAAAGCAAATTCCAAATATAACAATCCAAATAAGTAGAAAAAAATTAATTTAAACAATCTAAAGAAAATTGAATTCATCCCCAAATAGGTAAATTACAATTACAAAGTTCAAGCATAAAAATTCAATTCTAGTGAAATCTATATAATAAAGTAGTTTACAATTTAAATTTCAAAAATAAACAAAATGACTTTTATTTTTCGCGGTTCAGATCACTTTAAAGTTAATCTAACGGTTAATATTAACACCCTAAATTTAATCAAAAAAATAGGTCGCTAAGAGTGTATTTGCAGTGACTTTTTAAAAGCATTTCTATATATTATTTCTTATAAGTACATTAAAAAAAAATAGTGTTTAAAACCGTTTTACCACTACCTTTATCACCACCACCACCTCTAACTCTACCACCACCGTCGCCACCATCATTGTCGCGCCCCCCCCCCCAACCACCACCGCCACTATGGTCATTGTCACCCATCACAACCATCAACATCTCCTACCACCTCCACTGCCGACCACCATCTCTCACCCCGATTACAACCGATATTTAAATTCATTTATTTATCATTTATGTTTGTGATTTGATTTTAGATAAGAATACAAATATGTTTATTATTTATTATTTTGTCTCTTCAGGCACAAGGAATAACTAGTACATCAATATATAGCAACTTAAAAGAAGATCAAGTATGAATGCATATCCGAAGGTAGACTCATTCTTCTCTATTGTGTCAACCTAATTAGCATAAAAATCCTCTCAATCTTAAGTCTCCTCCATCATTGCAAAAGACAAGATCAATGGCGCTATGAAGGTAGTATGAGATCCTCTTCACTACATACTAAGCAATGGGTTCTAGATGTCTTTGGTAACGATCCTTCAAGCCAGTCCATTAGCAGATACTACGATGAATGGACAACATAGCATACATAAAACCTTGCATTGTACTCACATAAGGGAGCCTCTCTTAATATGTTCCTTTTCTTCATCTATTTATAATTCCCCTAACCCATTTCATTCATCTCAAAAGTGGAGGTTAACCACTCCTTAGTAGCATTGGTCTTTGACATATTTTTGGCCAAAAGGATGTCATCTCCATACAGACATAGGACCAAAATCTGGTTCTCAACTTTCTTGGCTTATTGTGATCTTTTTATATAAGGCTTAGGCCTATAGAAAGTATGGTCTCATGATTCCTGAGCTACCACAATCCAGATGACTACTTGGGACTATAAAGGAATTTTCTAAGGAGCCACATTGTGTTATCCTACCTCTTTGTTAGACCATATTTGTAATTCGCTAATTTTGTGGAGTCCACTATAAAATCTCAACATATTTTATAGTCATGATGCTATCAAGTTCAAGATCTGAAAGTATCATTGAAGAGAGGAGATCAAATATCAAAGTAACATCATTCAATCTCCGTATGCACCTTCATGCTTAGGACAAGGTAATGACCTAAACACTTAAGATGAACCCTTAGTTATTTTAACTTAGGTTGATTAGGACGAAAATTAAATTGGAAGGATCCGATTATAACACCTAGGTGATTTAAAAAAAAAAATTTCTAAATCATTTGAGTTTTGAAAACATAGATTGAGTCACTTTTTGAGCAACACCTTTTAATCCTTAAGAGGACAAGTTTCTACATGATTTTATGCTTAAAAACTTATAAGGATCGATCTATGCTTGCTAGTCTTCTCTAGAAAGATCTCTTTATGACTTAGGGAATGAAATGAGAAAAAGCTATGGAAGACAACACAGATTTAGCTTGAGTAGTCTCCTGGTCATTCGAGTAGTGCCCATGGTTGCTCGAGTGATATCTGCCTTAGTCATGTTTGAGACGTTCTTTTTATTCTAGTGACAATCGCCTTCCCACCAATTGAGCGGTCGTTCATGAATCTAAATTTTCTTATTTACCAAGGGTGCGTTTTGTAACATTTTTGTTTTTATACTTTTTTTTGTGATAAAAATTAAAAATATAAAACATGTTTAGTAGTCATTTATATTTAAAAAAATATACAAACAAAAATAAAAAAACATGTTTGGTATTATATTTTAGGCAGTATTTTATTAGTATTATATATATGTTTGGTATTATATATATTAGTATTTATATTTTGGTTACTATTTAATTCTAAATCCCAAATCCCTCAATCCTCTCACATTACCATATATGCCAAATATACACATATGAAGATTTATCCAATAACATGAAAATTTTGATTTATATATCTATAAATATAAATATGCAGATATGCAGATTTATGTCATCTATATAATAAAGTAGCTAGATTTCTTTGTCTTTATCTTTTTGCGGCTCAGATCGCTTGACGATTATTGATTTGACGGTTCTCATGCTAACTTTTTTCAAGACTCTTATCGCTCATCTAACTCTCTTTATATCTATCTTATACTCTCTCTCTCTCTCTCTCTCATATTATTATCTTATTTTTTTCTGTTTTTCAAGTGTTATTTTTTTATTATTTACTCCGTAAAACATATGAAACTACATGTTATGCAATTATTTATTCCATAAAATTAATTCAAAATTTTATATATCTGACAATAGGTATTTTGTCACTTCTTAATTTGTAAATAACACTTAATATAAATAAAAAATAGCATTTCACGATTTGAGGACTTTTTTTATCTGAGTTTCACATATTTTCGTGAAATTAAGTCTTAATTGATTCAAGGCCTAAATTCTTCTAAAATTCTCATTGATAATGGTTTTTATATAGATTATTTTTTTAGTTTTTTTTAATATTTGCTCTATTTGTTATAATTTTGGTACTAAATTTTTAAAATTTTTTTGAACTATCAATTTTTCAAATTTTTTTGTCAATTTTTTAATTTTCTTTCACTTATTTTCATGTGAATCAAAGATTTTTGAGTTTAACAACTAGAGGTGAGCGATTCTTTTAAAAAAAAAGTTGAAGTGAACAATTGGTTTGATTTAAGTATGTGTGGTTGAATCTTAACCAAAGAAAATTTATCAAATTATATAGTAAGAAAGAATACGCTATTGTGTGAAAAAATCTGTATTTAAATTTTATGGGTAAAAATACAAATTTTTAAGTTTATATACAACAAAAAAATTTATAATTTAAGGTCAATTTCATGTTGCTTTAATCAACAACAAATAATATTCAACACGAAATGAACCTTAAATTGTAAATTAATATATATTTTTATCAAAATTTGACATTTAATTTTGTCCAATTTATATTCAAATTTGTTGAATTAATATCAAATTAATACTAAAATTCATTTAATCAATTTTTTGGAGTACTAAATTATATCAATTTTTTGGTACTAAATCAAATCTTATTTTATTTTATTAAATTTTTAATTTTTTGGGTACTAAAGTTGGAGAAAGACAATTATAAAAATAATAATTTTTTTGTGGGGATAAAGTCATCACTTTTGGTCAGCAATATTGAAGGGAGACAGAGGGGTCTTTGTGTAATAAATTTTAAATTCCAAGGATCTCCGTGTTATTTATAAAATATTTGGGGGTGTCCGCATAATATTGTCAAAACTCAGGGAAGTCCGTATTTTTTACCCTATTTTTTAATTAGAAATTAATTTATTATTATTTTATCATAAAAACTTGAATTATTATATTTCTAATAAAAACAATTATTTGATAGGAAGGTTTGTTGGTAGCCAAAAAATAAATGTGTGAGAGTATGTTTTTGTATATATTTATATGTGGAGGATTGAAAATTTGGTAATTAAATTTATAATTTTATTGTGTCATTTGGGGTTGAATGATGATAGTGGTGATAAATTCATGAATTTTATAAATGAGTAAGATTTAGTTGATTTTATTTATCAGTTAAAGATTGTGAATTTAATTGTGTTATGTTAGTTTTTTTTGCTTGAGATATTTATTACATGGGGATAAGGTAGACTGAAAATATGGTGATTGTGTTTATAATTATATTTTTTTTATTGGATTGAGTGGTGGTAAAAGTGATAAATTCATGAGTCTTATAAATGAGCAAAATTTTATTTATTACATAAAGATTATAAATT